GTCTTGGAGCACAATGGGCATCTAATTCTAACAGAGACACAAAGACATTCTACTGCAGTTTGTATGCCCTTTCTCTGAGATAATTATCCACCATTAAATTTACCTTGGAAGAACTTCCACCTTTCTCAGTCAGTGAGATAATTATCACCATTAAATTTACCTTGGAAGAACTTCCAATTTGCTGATATAGAAGAAAAACTTTTTTACTGTTATAATAAAAGAAAAAATATATAAAATGGAGGGAAATGATCTCTCTATAGCTTTTTATTCTTACTGTTTGGTTCAGTGTAGTTTTACAAAATGCTATGATCTCTGCAGATCATTTGACCATCCTTCTTTACCTGAAGTGTTCTAAGTTACATTATTTCATTTTGGTCTTTGCTTCATTTCTATTTGTCCCTAAATTAAATCTCAAATAAGAAAATAGGAACACCTTCCACACCATAACTGATATTAGAATTGCAGAAGACATATACTACATGCTAAGGCCCACCTCTGCTGCTTTTGCATAGACAGAGCAACTAGGGATGCCTGTGAGAGTCAGACACACACGGTCTTCAGAATTGCAAACTCTTAGAAATTAAATATTTTAAACATTTAGGGGTCTGTTTTTCTTTCCACCTCTTCGTTTTCTTTTCACTTGACAATTTGATTTCATTCAGTTTGGACTGAAATTAACTTGAGAAGTAACAGTCTCAGTATCCAGACAGTGCTGGTGCTATAAAAGTGAAATTCAAGAGTTTTAACAAGTCAGAAACTTGCCCTCGCCTAGCCCTGTCCTCCTTATTGACAAGTCTATTGGCCACTATCTCTGGAAGCCATAATAAGACTGGAACCTCTCACACAGAAGTGAAAGGGGAAGCCAAAAAGTTTGAATATGACTTTTTGACTCACATACCCTACCTATGCCAAGTTTCAGTCTAAAAGTAATGTACTGGCCAAGTCAAACTTTTCAAAAACAGTGTGATAATGGAAACATTGACAGCTTTTTAAGCATTGTAGTGCTTGCTGGATCTACTGTATTACAAACAGAATCTGCAAAAGGGATTTTCTACACAAGATTTTATTCAGATTGGAGTTATGACAAAAGTTACATTTTACAGCTGTATAAAATGACCTAATGGTACAAAATGAAAAAATACATTAATCTATTTTATATATTTCAATAATGTTTCACTCCAGTGACCTTATTTTATATCTACGTTCTAAGGGGCTTATTATTATTCTTTTCTCTCAGTCACTTGTTTAGGTTCAGTTTGCCATGGGGAACTGTAAAAATAAATGAAGTCCATTAACTAAAATTATTTATTTGCACAAAAGCAATATTTCATTTTATCTGTCAGCAGCTTTTAAAAAAAGAGCAATAGCTTATTCAATCTACTCCTGTATTAGTGGAGCCAACAAAGATGGCTATTACTCTGGAAAAAAATTAAAATTTAAGTAGCTGAGCCTTCAAGGTAGAGTAACTGTATTGGCAAGTCCTAGAGGATTTATCTCAAGATAATTCCCTCGAGATGCCAAAGTCACATAGTCAAAATGAAATCAAGTTATTAGTTATTCCAGCTCAGTTAAAAATAACAGTATTTCAATTATAGTCCACCTCTGAATTACAAAATTACATTGGCTGTGTTTTATTAAAATATGCTGTTGTATAAAAGGGAGTTTCAATATGCATTGCACTAATATATCAGTACCACCACTAATGTTTTCTCTAATTTTTTTCATCCACGTACAGAATAAACTTTGTTATGTGCACCCAGGCATTTAGAGATGTACACCACCAGTAGAAACATATACTTCTAGTTGTGGGCATTGTGGGTGCTCTGTTAATCAGCTGGGCAGCATTTGAATCTCTCCTGGGTGGCCAGCCATGTACTCAGCTTGCAGGGAACACTGATCACTGCACAACTACTGGTAACTCAAATTCAGGCTGAATAAGCACGCTGTGGGTACCAAATTAGTCTTGGATCTGCCTTGAAATCGGAAGCTGGGAGACAACAGCAGAGATACTCAGATATTAATCAATATGCTACATAATTTTTTCTAAGTCTTCAGATATCAAGATTCAGAGCACTTCTTTCCTCTCTTTGCTTCTTAAGATTTGGGCTTTAAAACTCATTCTCTTCTGGTTTCTTTTTTTTCACTTGCATATAGAACTATACCTACTGAAAAATTTCCTTCCACTGATAATATACAAATTCCAGTGTCTGATCTTCAGTTATTTGCCAAAATGCATTTGGTTTAAAAGTCACTATTTAAATTGATACTGAAGATAGTCAGATTTTCAGAGAAACCTCAGCCCAACTTTCATTTTTGAATGCACATCTTTACATGCACGAATCACATCCTCCGCTATGATAGTCCTAAAGCAGTTAACACTTTGGTATCTAGAGAATGAGTTCTGCTCAAGCTTCAATAAAAGACCATCTACAATAATTGACTTTTTTATTATTGTTTCATTAAATGGCTATTTTAAAGCATGTTTCACTGAATTTGTCTGAGTGGATTAATGTAAAAAAAAAATAATACACATAAAAGAGTTACCTGCAGTTGGAAGCGTAAATCTCAGGACTACATAGGCAAAGATACTGTAAAAAAACAATGCATGGGGAAAATAGCCAAGATCTAAGCATATTTCAAAAACTCTTTGATTCTTTCAAAGCAGAAAGAAAACCTCTTATCAAGGACTCTGGATCTAAGTGTTTTATAAGCAAAGTTTCCATATATTTTATTCAAAAATATATAAACTCACATAATATCACTCTTATTACCACATTTTGTTGATCAGCAATGACTTCCCCTGTAACCCTGGAGAGGGGAGGTGGTCGACCCTCCCTCTACCCATTCCTGTCCCTGGTCTACCTCTGCCCCACCCCAACTCCAACCCTTCCCCAAGTCCCCCCACGTCTTCCCACCCCTACTCTGCCTCCACTCCACCATCAACTCCATCCTTTTCCCCAAGCCTCTGCCCCACCCCATCTCTTTCCCACCTCCTCCTCCAAGTGGGTCATGTCCCCACTCCTGCCCCTTCCTCAGAAGCCACAAATGCCACAAAACAGCTATTCATGGCTGGTGGGAGAAGACCTGGAGGGGGGGCGAGTGCTTGACTGCAGTGAGTGCTGCATATGCACTAACTTCCCCCCCAGAGAAATCCAGCCCCAAAGCACTCATGGAGCCAGTGCCTATGTTTTTGCTATTCAAACAAATCCTCCTCTCCTCCATATAATGTACCCACGGTAGATGAATAAATTGGCCTTAGAACAAGATAGCCCTTTACAGCCTAAGTTACTAAGTATTTTAAACTAGCTGGAGTTACCTGGCGTTGCTCAGGAAACCAGAGGAACAAAATGTAGAAAATTAGTAATGCATTATATTTTTTGAATGGTAGAAAAGTTGCACTGATTTCTATAGGGATTAAAATATGGGTCCGCGTCATCCCTGGGGGGAGAGGGGAGGTTACACATGGGAGGGGCGCCCCAGCTCACGCCCGGGACTGCAGGTGCCGCGGGGGGCAGGGCGGGTGCTCGAGCCGTTGTGCGCGTGGGGGTCAGGACGCTACGTCCGGCGCGGCCGGGGAAGGGGGGAGGGAGCGGGTCGCTTACATAACCTCGCAGGCGGGAGGGGGTGAGTCCTGGACGGTGCTGGGGGCCGCAGGCAGTGGGCACAGGACCTAGGGTGAGCAGGGCGGCCCCTGTAGCACAGTGCGGTGGGTTACTTTTTGATTTTTATAGCTTGAGCTCAGGCCCGATCGGGTCCAAAAGTACCTTAAAACCTTCTCCTGGATAAAAGGTAATCCCATGCAAAGTTTGGTTGTGGTAGCTCTTACAGTATCCAAGGTATTAGCGCACAAACTTACAAACATTCTCCTTTATATATTAGATTGAGTCACAATAGGTAGGCAGCATAGTCCTCTAGTCAACGGAACTGAGAACTAGGAACACCAGCATTTTAATCTGGGACCTGTCAGACATTTGCTCCATGATCTAGAGCAGTGGTCCCCAACGTGGTGCCCGTGGGCGCCATGGTGCCTGCCAGAGCATTTATGTGCGCCCGCCGAGTGACCACGGCCGGCCCAAACCATTCTTGCACCCTGGGCATGCGGTGCTGGCCCTGGGCACACAGTGCAGGTGCAGTCCCCCCCCCTCCCAGGTGCGTGGCGCGTGCCTGGCTCTGCCCCCGGATGCACAGTGCATGAGCGTCCCTGCCCCTGGGCTCATGGCGCATGCGGAGCCCCACCCCCGATGCGCGGCCCCACCCCTGGACATGCGGCACGTGCGCGTTCCCGCCCCTGAGTGCGCGCCACATGAGTGGCCCCGCCCCCGGGCGCCCGGCAGCCCCAAAAGGTTGGGAACCACTGATCTAGAGCAAGTAAAAACTCTCATGGCTTGCTTATTCTGCTGCTTAGAATACTTGACCTTCCCACGTTAACATGCCTATCACTTGGAAATGGTGAATGCTGCAAGCAACGCCTCTGAAAGCCTCAGGGATTGACAAGATAAGCACAGAAATAGATGTCTAAACAAAGAATAAATACAGAGTCTGAGGTAAAAGAATGCACATGTTCACCCCAATAAATATATTTTAATATACATTATAACGTACAAAAAAGTCCAGGTTGGAGTTGGTCCTCCATGGTCCTGCACCCTGTAGACCTGGGCGGTCTACAGGAATTTGCCAGAGCAGGGAAGGTCCCCTGCCACCTGCTCCCTCAGCCTGCCATCCCTCCTCACTGCCAACTCCTTCAGCCCT